CTTCATATTTTAATACAGATAAAGAAACAGATTGGGCAATTTTTGGTGGAATTCGTGGTGATAGTATGTGGACTAATTATAGTGTCTATACTGCATATCGAGATTGCTTTCAATCGAATGATTGGATACTAGTAAATAGTACAAATCCAAGAATTATTAGTGATGAAGAATTCTCTGGTACAGGTAAGAAGAATTGAATAGTACAAAATCAGAAATTGAAAAATAACAAAAGAATTTTTTTGAAGAACTTGTAGAAAGATACAAGATTTATTCTATCACGATTGTTTAAAGAGAAAACTCTCAAGTGATCGTTAGCGTTCACATAGCGATTCTGTTGATAAAAACTGTAGAATTCGAAAAGATCTATAAACAATCATCTGTGTTAACTGCTTGCTCGATTTGTAAAAGCTTCATTGATGAGAAAAAGCACTAGGACGAAGATAGAAGTGCTAGAGCAAAAACTTGATCATAATACCTGGCGCAAAAGCATCGAACAACGTAATCATTCATCATTACAAACGAAAAAGATTCGTATCATAATACTCTGTTTTGGAAGAAAACTCTTCTGCATTCTTCTATTTCTCTCAAATGTCTTGCATATTTTTTAGAAAACTTAGCAGATGATTACAGTAGCTTTTAGTATAATTGGTGCTGGGTGGAAATATGAAACATAATCGAGCTGGTCTGTGTCTTTATACTATTCACTTTTTAATATGTATGAATAGTGCTAAAACAAAGAATTCAAAATACAATTAGAAGAAAAAAACGCGAAGATTTTAATGTCTTATCCATTCTAAAGAGGAGTAATGTATTCGTTAACGGAGTTTCTGCAATCTGTTTAAAAGACAAATATTAGCGATTGAGATTGATTTCTATGTTTACTCTAACTGTGACAAACAAATTGATCGCTCGAATTAATCTAGACTTAATTCGAAAAAATAATCAAGATTTCAGTTCAATCACTTCGAAAATTTTATTGTACAACATAATAGAGCTACTTTAACTATAAAAGAGAAACCTATTCGCATCTATCATAGTTCGTAACGAGACAAAAATCCCGCATATCAAAAAAATGACTAGAACGTCATAGATCCTGGCAGAAATGTCGACATGCCTGTCGTGGTGTATAGGACAGACTAAAAAAAAGACTGAACTTCACATTTGTTGCCATTCATTCCAACATTCATTAACTATTGTGTTTCAAACAATGTTTAGGCCAGCTACCGTCGAATGTAACAGGGATAAGTATAAGACTTATTTCGTGAACACATAAGAGTCCTTGTGCCATCAATAATATATACAAGTCTGAAATAGTATAAACAATTCAACTTCAATGAATGGTTTGCATGAAAAATTTTGGACCGTTCAATCATTTTTGATCGAA